TAATTTTGTCGATTTGATGCTGACTTTGGAAAGCGTTTGCGTAAAACAAAATAATCAGAATTTTAAATTTTGCTCACTTTTTGTTGAAAATTTACATTAGCTCAATGAGAGGTAAATTTAGCATGCATTCACATTATCCAAAATTGTTAAAATAACTGTACATAATACGAGTATAATATGAAAAATAATAATCAACACTAACTTTTCATATACAACTGTTTAATGTCGAATTTGCGTTAAAAAGAATGTTTTTTGCATTTTTCTCTAGAAAATAATCAAAAAAAGAATGGATGAAAACGTTTTCAACAGATTATTGAAAAAAAAAGTTTTTTTTTTTTTTTTAATTCTAAAAATTTACAAAATAAACAAAAATTACCAGAAAGAAAAAATTTTCAATTTTGCAACAAAATCTCAGAATCGTGCATCATAAAGAACGTGTAAACAATCGCAATAAATGCAAATAATGAAAAAGTTGGATTTGTATGGAGTTTATAAAATTTATAAATTAATTTTTCACAAAAAAGTAAAAGAATTTTTAATAACAAAGTTTTTCAGACATTTTGAAATTTAAATAAAAAAAAAAACAGCAGTCAAAAACAGAATGGAATTTTTTTTTTTTTGAATTGCAATTTTAGAATTAAATTTTCGGCCATCACTTTTTATTTTTTGAAAACTTTATCAGCTGATTTTAATATTTTTTTTTACTTTTACAGTTAGACTTTTAAATTTATAATCTCTCAGAGTTTTTGAAATATTTTCATTTTTTTTCACGTTTCCATTTTATTTTTTTTTTGTTGACTTTAATATAAGAAAGGATTTTTATAGAAAATGGTTTGAAAAACTTTTCTTACTACAATGAATATGTGAAGAAAAAGTGAAAATGAAAAGTTTTTTATATAAAATTTTTAAAATTTTCTATTCGATTAATTCAATAAAAAGATTTTCCGGAAAATTGAACAAATTTTATTGAAAATTTTTTTTCTAAATAAATTCTTTGAATAGCTACTGCTTTTTTTCTTGTGTAAAAATAAATAAAGATTCAAACATTTTTGAAAGATTTTACATTCTTAACATAAAATCAGCTATATACATCATAGCGCACCCCTATGATTGCATTGTAATCATATTTTGGATTAAAAAACATTGTGATACTAAAAATTTAACAAGGATTTTTTATTTTTTTGTTAGTGTTATATGTATAGGTAATAAAAATAATAATTATTATTAATAACATATTATGTTGACCAACTAAGAGTCTGAGCTTTTCAATAATTATATATGGAATTCCATAAAAGAAAGTCGAAATTGGATGGGAAAAAAGTAAGATTTTAAATATTTTCCTTACATAAATGTTGAAATACTATGAGATTGTCTTGAAATAATTTAAAAATTATTGCATAACTTTAGATGAGACGAGTCTTCGACCGAAAACAAATGAGACCCTTTAATTAGTTAATAGGCTTGTATGGCGAATCGGGCAGATCTATTTTTGAATTCGTCAAAAAAGTTGAGATTAAAAATATTATAAGATAAGTTAATTCATTAAAATGCTGTCATTACAGTACGATTTATTCACCACTTAAAATTTCGCAAAAAAAACTTAAAATTTCGAAAAAAAAAAGCTTAAAATTTCCTAAAAATCTCTGTAGTTTCGAAATCGTTCCTGTTTGACACTAGATTCTGAAGAAAAATTTTACTATGTAGTGAGCAATTTCAACAAAAATTTATATAGGGGGTAATTTCATTTCGAGTTATTTTCTAATTGAATTTATTTGCATTCGAAATTCAGAATAACTTCAAGTATGCCGATTCTAAAATAAATTTATAAATAAAAGTGAACGGGAATTGAATTTGAAATTAAAGACTTAAATTTTATATTAGGCAAGAGAAAAAATTTTTGAAATTTTCCTTGTATCTCAATTGCTTTTTATTTTTGTTTTACACACATACATACTTCTTACATATTTAATATTCTGACATAAGAGCGGTATATTTTTTATATATTGGAAAATGATGGAAGAAATTTTTTCGTTTTCTCTTTTTTTTTTGTTCTATGATAAATGAAAAAATATTTTGGTTGTAAAAGAATTTTAAAACAGGAAACTGACAATATTTTTGTTTAAATAAAAAAAAAAAACTTTTGCAATTTTTCAAATTTTAAATGGAAAAAATTCCCATATCATAAAAAAATTTACCTTTAAGGATCATAATTGTATCCTGAATGAAATCTTATACATATTGCGTTTCATTTATTTTTGTTATGTTTTTTTCTTTCTTGATTTTGTACTCCCTAGCCATGAATAAATTTCATTTTGAATCCTTCAGAGAGTAATCCTTTCTTTAAATATAAATGTTATTGTACATGCAATGCTTATATTTTCTTTCAATTTATATTTTTTTTTATTCGTTCATGTAATATATTGAATAAAAAACCCTATGAACTTTACGAACTATTTAAATATTGAAATATTATTAAAAGAAAAAATAAATGACAGGATATAAAGATATTGGCCATATATTTGTTATATTATTTTTATATTAAAACGAAAAAAGGAATGTAAAAAAAAAACATACCCTATTCAATAATAAAAAGGACATTTAATATGAAGGATCAGTGTGTATACGTGATATTTTTAAATTTATGAAATTTTAACTAGATCATTTTTTTATTATACAAATTTTAATATTGTATATGCTTTATGTATTATTTTTAGCAATACAATGTACTTTAAATAAATGAACTATAAAAGTATGTATGTGAGTTTTAAAATAAAATCGGAGGTCAACGACTTTTTCTGGCTCCTCTGTCGATTTTGTTTACAAATAATTTCCTTTTAAAAATTTTTAATTTGAAATTTCACATAAAATCATTTTAATAAGGTAAACATAGTTTTTAAGATGAGTCTCATTGCAATGAAACTTATTCGAGATCAAATTTGCAAAAATGTTCTTCTTTAATAAAATAAATACTTCCGTAACTTGCAGATGGACTTTTTTAAAAAGTAAATTCTTTTCTATGTTTCATTAATATTATTGACGTATTTGTATTTGGTAATATTTGTAAAAGGGATAAGGCAAGGTTAAATTTACACAGCTGTTGTATAATACGATTAAACTTGATAGGCCCGTTGTAACTCCGCCGGTTCCACTAAATGTTTCACTCTCATGTAAGAACCAGCCCCAGCTTTTCAGAAACCGATTAAAATTTCTGGAATTCGCGTTTACTTGATCTAAAGCGAAAAAGGAGATGGGCCACTGTCACCTTCTCCTTTTCGCCACGACAGTTCCTTCACAAAATAAGCTGTTTCTAGGTATGTGCTTCAATAGAATAATTTTCCGTCATCCAAACTCCTATCCAAATCGCTATGAGATGGAGAACATTAGATTACAATTTTCTTATATTCCTAGCCCACTTATTGCAATTAAATTTCACTATCAATTATCAGTTTTGGATTTTTAATTTCAAATTTCGATTTATTTCATATTCAATTCCCTTAACATTAAATTTTAATGAAAAACACTTGAATTTTTTTTTTTACAAAAAGTTTATAATTTATTTAAATTTTTTATATTATTTTAGTTTGTTTTTTTATTTCTCCTCATTTTTTAATTATTTTTATTTTATTTTATTTATTTTTTTTGCTTTTTTTTTGGTTCCTCTTACAAAGTAAATAATATTAAATATTATTTAAATATTAAAATTTTATAATTATTTAACGAAAAAGGAAAACATAATCATATATATTCACTATTTTTTTTTTCTTTTTTTTTCTATTCATTTGATTTAATTTAGTTTTGTAACGAAATATAAATTTTTTTTTAAAGATCTTTCTTTCTTTTTTATTATAATAATATTATGGGTTGCAAATTTTGCTTATTTTGTTAATTTTTTGTTTTTTTTTAGTACAACATTTTTTACACATATATAAATATTAATTACTTATAATTATTTATATAATATAATTGATTAACTTTTAATACATAGGGAACAAAACAATAATTTTTAAGATCTATAATTTACAAAAATATTTTAAAAATCGTAAAAACAAAAAAGAGAAATTAAATAATAAGAATATTAGGAGGAAAAATATTAGCTTGAAAAATTTTTCTCAGTGTATTTTATTTTATGAAACAACTGAATTTTTATTATAAGACTTTAAAAAAACTTGAATGGGCTTGGAAATTTAAAAATCAGTAAAATAATTCAATAATATTAAATTTACGAATGAATAGAAATGTTTTTGTAGTAGGTACTCGTATAATGATTTAATGAGTTGACAATACACTCAGAAAAAAAAACAAGTTTTCTTTTTGTGTAATTTAACAAATTTTGTTTAAAAAAAGAATCAAAATTTTCATTACAAATCGAAATCAATACAATTTATAAAATAATTATATACTTTTTTACAATTGCTATACTAAATACATAATATTATATACACTATCTATATTATATATATACATATACATATATAAATATATAATTATATATATATATATATAAAACAGTCATTTTATAAACTTAATTAATTTCTTTTTTAATACATAGTTATTTGTAATCATTTTGTAAAATTTCACATTATTTAATAAGTACAAATACTTTAAAGGAATTAAATAATTTAAATACATAATGTAATTTAAAGTAAATAGAAAAAAAATTCCATACCAAACATATTTTTATATTTAAAAATATATAAAAAATGTGTGACACAATCAAATGAAATGAAAATATTGCAAATATCAAAATTTAGAGGGCGGCTATGGCATCATGATTTTGTGTATGAAAAAAATTTTAAATTGTATTATATATGCAAATATTTTAATATGCACAATAATATATATATATATATATATATATATAATATATATATATGTATATATATATATATATATATATATATATACTATATTGTATATATTATATTGTATATATTATATAATATTATTGTTGGTATATATCAATAAAATTTCATATGTACGAGTATGTAGAAAAATTTGGCGGCTGAAGATATATAAATACACGTATGTGTGTAATTTAAATTTTTCTTTTATATAATTTATAAAAAATTAGTATTTTTCTCTTAACAAATGATTAAGTATACAAAGTAATAACAAATGTTTTAATATGAATTGATGATTTTAGTTGAATAAAAAAACAATGATATTTTTAAATAATTGAGTTTGTGTCGTCACTTGTCACTATATTTTTATATGAATTAGTTATTTGGTATGGTATACAAGGCAATAATTTTTTATAATAATTTTTTTTATATAATATGCATAAGTTTCAATATTTAATTCAAATTGAAGATAATTTAAATATTTAACATTTCAAATTAAAATTTTAGGAATGTTTGGAAAAAGTTTGACATATCTGCAATGTGTAATATCACAGTGAACATAAATCAATACATAATTTATATACATTTACGTTTCAAATTTCCATAAAAGCAGTATTGTGACAGTAATATTGAGGTTTATATAAAAAAAGAACAAAGTCGTCCTTTCAAACTTTCTGAAAATAATAAAAACATTTGTAAATTGCAAAATATTCATCAAAAGATAAAATTATAAATCGATAACAATTCGAATAAATTTTAAAAATCTCATTTCAACTCTGTCCAGTTAAAAGAATATTCTCTACTCCGTTTTATATATCCCTTTCGTTCAGATTTAAGGCCCGTACTTCTAAGCTAATAAACATCCGAGATAGAATCTTTAAAATTTATATAAGTAAATTAATTCAACTCTCTTTGATAGAATAGCATTTTTTTTCAACTACGGCCGAAATGTTAAATTTCGGAAATTGGTAGTATCATTTTAAAAATTTACAAGTAATACTTTCAAGAAATATCAAATTACATCTTTTTTAAGATACTAATTTTGATTACATGAAAATTACTGCCATGATATGTAAAATCACACATATCTGGACTTGAAGAATTATGAAGTTACCGTTTCCATTAAAAATACTGACACACAACGTCTAAGATCTGCACAAGGACGGAAATGTAATGAATTTTTAATTAATATAAATACTGGTAGGTTTTGAGCAGTAGATTAAATCTAAATTTGATTTAAACTGTCCATTCGACTATAATTTAATTGTAAATGCATTTTAAAATTAACTTTATGTTTTTAAAATTCGACACAATACAGTCGAATTATTCTCTTTTAATAACTGGGATTTTATATGAAGCTCTTTTAAAATTAAATTGAAAATACGTTCGTACGGGTATAAAAATTAGAAACAAAAAATTATTTTTGAATTTTTTGGTACTTGTTTGTCAAGAATATTTTTTTACCCTTTTATACAAGTTTGATTTTGATAAATCATAAAATAATTGATAATCTCACAAACAGTTAGATTCGACTTAAGATTCGATAACAAATTGAGAGTTAGATTCGACCTGCGATACCGAATAATAGAGAAATTTCTATACGTAAAATAAGTAGGGTCATATTTTATATTCTCCTCTTATTGAACTGTATAATACGGTCTATAAGTAGGGTCATATTTTATATTCTCCTCTTATTGAACTGTATACGCATTATGTATGGTGTGAACTGTGAACATCTACTTCGATATTTTAGATTTTCAATATTTTTCAAACTTTTTCCTGTTTTTTTTTCGTTGAGATTTTTTAGGAAGTTTATATAAAATTATAATTTATTCATAACAAAAATTTTATGTAGGTACCTAAATATTTCGAACAAATTTTTTTTTGTTTTGCATTAATTACTCGTAGTACTCGTATAGTAGTTTTGTCTCTTTTAATTTGATTTTTTGTTTTCTTCTTCATTTTCTAAAAAATTACATAATTTTTACAATATATTATTGACACATACATATGCGTGTGTGTATGTATGCGCTCATATATTTAAATATTTAACAAAATAATTAAAAAATATAACGGTAATTTTTCATTCTACTTTTAATTTCTTTGTTTAATTATGCTGCTGCAGAGTTGATAATCGCGTACATCATAATTATTACAATAATTTTTTTTTTTAAATTTTCTATATTTAATTTTAATTTTTAATATTTTTTTTTTATTCTATTCAATTATAAGTATGTATAATATATGTATATATATATACTTATATTTATATTATAATTAAACACTTAAGTCAAATGTAGTTTTTTTTTTGTTTTTGTTATTTTAGTGTTCATTTTAATTTCCTTATCATTTATTTTTTTTTTTAATTATAATCACATTTTAAATAAAAATTTAATCTTAATTCCTTAGTACATATTTAATTTTTTGTTTTGTATTTTTTTCTGTTTTATTCAATTAATTTATTTATTATGTATGTATGTATGAATAGCGAAAAACAAGATATTTTTAATTAATTTTTAATAATCGATGGAAATTTATTATAATTTTTTTTCTTTACTTTCATATAATTTCCAAATTACGATAATAATGATGTTAATGATGATTTTCTATAATAATTATTTTGTAATGTTTTTAGTGTAATATTTAGTGTTAATGGAATTTACAATATTTTAATTGAATTTTTTATTAATTTTGACATTTTGATATTTGATGCCGGCATTAAATTATATTTCATACTTTTATTGTTGTTACTCTTGCTTTTGTTGTTATTATCGTTCCGTTTGCTGTTATTGTTTTAGTTAATGGAATTATATTTATTTTATTATTATTATTATTTGTTGATTTTATTAAATTAACATTAGAATTATTATAGTCTATATACTCTCACGAAAATTTTGTTATAAATTCCCAATGTTGTGTACTTACTGATGTATCACAACGTTCAGCTATAATACCACGTGTTGTTACATTTATTGTATCCAAACATATATTCATTTTGGAATGTTGAAGGAAACCACCTTCACGGAATTTCCAGACTTGATTCTCTGAATCATCACAGATTTTCATAACAACTTGTGAGCCACGTGAAAATTTTAATAATGTTAAACAAACATTATGATGTTGTATTTGACCTTTTGTTGTTATACCCCATTCTTGATTACCACCATTATTATGACATTGATAAATACCTAAACATTTATATTTGTAATTGTGAATGTATTTAAGGAAAAAGAAAACAAAAATTAATTATTATTTCTACTTTAATCTTTACATTATTAATTTTCTAAATATAATTTAATAATTTCTTAAAGTTATAATAAGTATGATTTATTACTATATTATTATTCTGCTTTAATTAATTAATCGAGGTGCACCAGTTATAAAACAAAAATATAAAAGATTTCACAAGTTCTTATATCATTAATGAAACTGAATGGAACCATAGTTTAGAATTTTAAGAAAGAGTCAAAGATTTTGTATTTTTATTTGGGGTCTGTTTTTTTATAAGGTGCGTGTGTGATTGCAAAGTTCGTTTTAGTATTTAAAAGAATATTTAATATCATAAATAACAGGATTAAGGGGATATCAATTAAATTAATTTGAATGGTCAAAAAACGTAGATAATTCAAACTAGCGTTGAATTATTAAAATATTTATCTAATAATTTTCGTCTTACTTGATTTAATTTCGTTTGAACAGTTTTTTAATTCTCAAATTGTAAAGGGTTACAATCAAAGATTTCTCGGGTTCCGTCTATTTGTAATATTATCCAATAATTGGTTACATCTGGAACATTTGTGATATGGAATACCTACTATATACCTACTACTATTAATTGCAAAATGTTCACAATAGGAAGAGTTAAAATTTATATAGAAAAAGTTTTCCCGAGAAAATGTGATAAATACTTGGAACTTTAATTTCGCCATTATTTTCGAATTTAATAATAATGCTTGCTTTAGCAGTATTTCATTAAATTAAAATTTTATAGAAAATTATCAACCTAATTATTTTAACAATATTTTAAAATTCATGTCCGATCCCAGTCATATTTTGTAATTATATACTTTAATGAATAAGATGGTATTAGTTAATTTATTCAGGATTAGAGTGTCACTATCAAACAAAAAAAAATTATTTCTAGAATGCAAAGCAAAAATAAAAAAAAAATCATTAATTTTAAAAAACTTGAAATATTGTTTTTCTTTTTTAGAATTGACAACCATTGTAAAATTTTTCTATGTAAAAATCTATACACGCACTTATAAGTAAAGTAAAACAAATCCCTATAATCTTCACTCAAAAATGATTATTTTCGATAATAATATAATTGTGATGGTGAATTAAGCTTTGAAAATGTCAAAAAAATTCACCACTTAATGAAAATAAAATTTTGTTCAAGAGAAACTTCTCTGTCTATTTATTTCTTTTTTGGTTTTAAATTTGTGAAAATAATTTTTGTTTTATAATACAAAAAAAAAATAAAACAGAAAAAAAAGTAAAAATTCTCTTCCACTGTACTTGAACTAACCATGATTATACTTCTATATTATAAGTACATCGTTTTTATAAAACATCAAAATTTCATCAAATTCAGTAAAAAAAGAGAAAAGATAATATTTCCTCCCCACCCCTTATAATACTTACCCACAGTTTCATCGACATCATTTCCTAAAGTATCCAGACAAAAATGTCCTTGACGTAATTGTCCAACAGGATATGCTTCTGGTACTTTAAGTTCTGGATAAACATTCTCGAGATACCATTTAAATGGTTTACAATGAAGTTTTTCTCTTAATGCTAAACGATCATCAATACTGTGTGGCAAAAAAGAACACAAAAAAAAATGAAAATGAAGGAAAAAAACATTAGAAATGAAAATTAAATAAAAATTACAAGCAAAATGTCATGTTTTAATTCTATGGAATTTGGCAAAGAATTTTAAAATGAGATTTGGCAAGGATAATCAGTTTTTTTTTTGTATGAATATATTTTATACTCTTTTTGTATGTGTATTACCACTAAATCTATATTTATTCTGATTTAGAACAACTCATATAATGTACAAAAATCTTTAAAAAATAAAGTTTATGTTTGCATAAATAAAATGTTAAATGCATATTGTATGCAAGGACATTATTATAAAAAAGAAAAATTATGTTCTATTTTTTGGTTATTGTAACAAGGATATCATAATTTTTATATGCTTTAATGCAACATATTTTTTTTTTTTTGTTTTGGTAAACACAAAAAAAATTATACTCACTTCCCAAATGGAATATTTTTGGCTACTTTAACTGAATCATAATAATACTGTTTATAATCATCCATCCATACTTCAGCTGCACGTCTTGTATTTCTAATAAATACTGTACCACTACCACCAGGGAATGTATATGGATGTTTTTTTCTAAATACATGACCAACACGACTACATGGTATTATTTCTAAACTGCCACCACATTGCCATACACGAAATGATATTTCTAAATTTTCACCACCCCATATATCCATTTTTGTATCATATTTACCCAATTTTTCAAAATATGCTTTATCAATTGTAAATAAACCACCGGCTATCATTGGTGTACGTATAGCACGTTTTGGATCATCTGCTTGTATAATACGTTCATTTTGTGGTAAATAATCCCATTTAAATACTAAATTCCAACCGAAACCACCACGTAAATCAGATGATGCAGCAACATATTGAAAATTATCCATTGATATAACATCAATAACTGGTGATACAACACGTGTTGGATCTTCAGCAACACGTTCTAATAATGGTTCTAACCAATGTTCATTACATTCAACATGACTGTCTAAAAATGTTAATACTTTAGCTGTTGCTGCATCAGCACCACGTACCCGAGATCTTACTAAACCTTCACGTTTATCATTACGTATTATACGAACTTTATGAATTTTAGCTAATTCCAAACCATCTTCAGCTACAAACAAGATTTTAATTAAACAAGAATCAATAAAAGGATAATTATTAATTATAATAATTTAAAAATACTTACGATGAAAACTAAAATCATCAACTAAAATGATTTCTTTAACAAGATGCTCTGGACTCCTATTTAAAACACTATAAAATATAAAATTTAAAATAGAATTAATTACATTTTGTATGCATTAATTTTTTATATTAATTGTGGTGTTGGTATTTTACCTAACTATCGTCCTTAATAAAGTTGATCTGGCCTCATTATGAAATGTAATAATAACGCTCGTTTCAGGTAAATCTGTACGCCATTTTGTTCTTTTACATCTGAAATTTAAAAATATCGTTTGCATTAATAATTATTATTATTTTAAGTTTAATCATAATTTAATTGTTTATTAAAAAAAAATATATTTCTGAATTTTTCTGAACAAAGCATGCAATTATTTCGCCCGAGAGAGGTGAAAATTATTTTACACTATTTTAAATTGAAGTTTTAGTTAGCCTTAATAAAATTATATTACAAATATAATATGGTTTAAAAAAAAACTTTTATTAAGTAATGCAAAGGTCCTTAATTCCATTTTAATTTAGTTAATAATAAAAATTCGCATGAATCTGCTGGAAAAGTTTTATATTAACTTAATTATAGAGATTTAAAATTAATATTCAATGCAGTGTTTATCGCGCGACTTTACTGGTATGTGCGTATTTGTAAAAATTTTGGATAACGTATTCATAAATGAGTACACATAAATTTAAAAGTGTTACCATACTGTATAACCTAACTTTTGTATTACTTCCTGGTATTTCAAGTCATGTACAGTTACGTGATTATAAAATTCAAATGATAATTACAAAAATTAATGATTGTGGGTATGTTTGTACGTGATTTGTGTTAAAAATACTTTAAAGGTTCATTCATTTCAAAGCACAGGTATTGTGACGTATGCATTTTTTGAAATAATCTTATTATTAGCAAGAAAAGAAAGAAAATTCAACGAGATCTACATCCAATTTGCCGGACCAAAATATAAGAAATTAACATTAATATACATAATGCCTTTAAAATAATTTAGGTGAAATACATAAGTATTTTTTCGTTTAAGTAAGTTTTCGTTTTACATGATTAATATGATAACATGGTTACTTTATTTTATTAAATTCTATTAAATATGATATAAGGTTAAGTACATAGAGAAGAGAAAATTTAAAATTTACAAATTTTGTTTTTTACCTCATTTTACAGGAAACAAGCATAATATTAGCACCTGCTATTTATTTCATTATTAAATTATTCTACAATTCTGATATAAAATCTGGCTATTTTTCTATCTATATTCTATAGCAAACTGTCGTATACAAATTAGTAATGTGTATAGTGTGTGTAAATATTTTAATCGGCAGAATTGTGATGTGGGTTATATATATATGGGTATATGATCAAAATTTACCTTGAAGCTATTATTTAACAATGTTGTAATATTTTCCATTGTTATAATTATATTAAAGGTTCGTTGTTACTTTTACTTCTTAGGCGATTTCATTTTATATACAGAGTAATTGAATGAGTTTATAATTATGTTAAAAGTCCTAAGCTACTAAATTTTTATTATAATAGCATTAAAGGTTAAGAAGCTAAATGTGTACAATAACAAAAAAAAAACAAAAACAAAGGAAAAAAAATTACATATTTTTTGTAAGTGTAAATAAAGCAATATGGTTTAATTTTCAGTTTACAGTTTAAGTGTGAAGAGAAAAGCGAAAAAATTGGCTTCAGAGCCATAGAATACCTGGTATAAAATAGTGTGAAGTACTTCAATTTTCGAGTTTTCGCTTACAGATTTTTCAGAGGCTATAATTAAGAGACATATTATGTAATGTAAAGATTGGATTGGATTGAGCATGTAAAGAAAACTCAAGAGGGCCTCACTCAATACTACCAAGAGAGGCCTAGAAATTTTGTTGGGATTTGCACGCATCTGCATTACTAAAGCTGCGAGAATGTGTCCGACTGCGGGTATGGAGTACTGCCGGGCATTAGCGATGCGGGTGGATGGAACATCTGCATTTTCCCAGGGTCAACATGATTAGAAGTTATAACTTTGAATCTTAAAGCTAGAAGCAAACAGGAAGATTAGAGAGCTGGGCTCTTGATCTACTTAATGAGATCATATTCGTACACCAGTGTAGTCCTCGACTTTCCTTGCTTCATTGACTCTGGACTGCTGTCGGAATATATGTATATGGCAAAAAAAAGAGATGTTTTGTGCCAATGGAAACGTATAGCAAAATAATAGGAAAGAGTAAGAACCAGATGGGAATGTCGCGGGTCTTCTATAACGGGACATCGTTCTATCAGAGGTATTTTGAAGAGGTTGGGGCTGGAAGTCGGGAGAATTTGCCTGTTTTGTAGAGAAGTTCAGTAGACTTCAGTGCATCTCCCCAATTTTTTCAAAAATTCATTATAAATTTTAAACATTATTTATACTCAAAACAAATTTTTTTGACTTAGTATATTTTTCTACAAAAGAACTACAAAAATACTAAAGCGCGTTTGCTTATACCTTTAGGTTTACAGTTATACGATAGTAAACGTAAAAATGAGAAAAACGTATAAAAGATAATAAAAAAAAAAAATAGTTCAAGGGCGTAACAAAAGCACGCAATAAAATTAAAACATTGTACAGGAATAAACGATTGAATGAAAAAAAAACCAAGCAATTTTATATTTTTTAACAATTAATGTTCGCGCTATGCCTATATAAAAATTTGCAAAGAAATTAAAATTTACTATATAATAGAGTCTACTAGAATAATATAAACATACGCATAAGGTAAAATAATTAACCCTTTCATGTTCACAGGTAATATTTTTTCGCTTTTAAGCAGTACTACGAAATAATTTGCAGAGAACCTCAAAAAATATCTGAGAAACAGTTGGATTTTGCATTTTGGAGTTGGATTGAACAGATGGGTTACCTGAGAAACCCTTCTGTTATTTTTTAGCAATTTTCTGAGTTATTTTTTAGCAAATAACATTTAATTTTGAAATTTTATTCAAAATTGTCTACACTTAAAAAAATTGAAAAGGTATATATTTCTCAGACATTCTGAAATTCAACAGTTGTTAAAACTAAATCGAACAAAAGGAAAATAATTATATTTCACACCAAAACTGAAAGTTAAGAGAAATTAGCATTAATTGTTACCAAAAATTATAGGGGTATTAAAAGGGTTAAATATTATTATACTCATAAATAGAAACATACTTAGAAATTTATATTACTTATTAAATTGCACGTATTTAGATTAAAAATTTAGGTGTGTGTTCAATAAAATCAAATATACAAAAGAATATAGAAAAGTTAACGAACTCATAATAATGTATTTTAATTATGAATATTGTTATATGAATTTAAATATGATGGCGACAAATTATGTTAAAAACAAGTAAAAACGTTTCAGTCGGTATAAACCGATTGAATTATACCCTGCACCTTTCATTTTTGTATAGCAACGACTAAAACCTGTGAAACCATTTTATAGAAACTTCACGGATATGTCTGATCTATAACTGAACACACAACTGCCAAGTTTCATGAATCTAACTTTATTACTTTTCCAAATATTTAAAATAAGTTTTTGGACTTGTATGGGAGCCACTCTACCCTGTCAAGCAATTACACCAAAACTTCAGAAATATCTTTGACCTATAATTGGACACACAACTGCCAAGTTTCATGAATCTAACTTTATTACTTTTCCAAATATTTAAAATAAGCTTTTGGACTTGTATGGGAGCCACTCGAACCTGTCAAGCAATTCCACCGAAACTTCAGAAATATCTTTGACCTATAATTGGACACACAACTGTCAAGTTTCATGAATCTGTCTTTATTATTTTTCCAAATATTTAAAATAAGCTTTTGGAGTTGTATGGCAGGTACCCGAACCTGTCAACCAATTCCACTAAAACTTCGCAGGTATATCTGATCTATAATCGGACACACAACTGCCAAGTTTCATGAATCTAACTTTTTCATTTTTTGAAATATTTAAAGTAAGCTTTTGGACTTGTATGGGAGCTACTCGAACCTGTCAAGCAATTCCACCAAAACTTCAGAAATATCTTTGACCTATAATTGGACACACGACTGCCAAGTTTCATGAATATGACTTTATTATTTTGCCGAATATAAAAAATTTACTTTTGGAGTTGTATGGCAGCCACCCGAACCGGTGCAGCTATCTCATTAAAATTTTTAGAGCATATGTAGAATATAATTGGACACATATATGCAAAATTTTATATTTGTACCTTTATTAGTTTTTGAAATAATTAAAATAAACTCTTTGAGTTGTATGGCAGCTACCCGAACCTGTCAAGCAATTTCACTAAAACTTCGCAAATATATCTGATCTATAATTGGACACACAACTGCTAAGTTTCATCAATCTAACTTTTTTTTTTCAAATATTTAAAATAAGCTTTTGGACTTGTATGGGAGCTACTCGAATCTACCAAGCAATTCCACCAAAACTTCAGAAATATCTTTGACCTATAATTGGACACACGACTGCCAAGTTTCATGAATCTGACTTGATTATTCTTCCAAATATTTAAAATTAGCTTCTGGAGTTGTATGGCAAGTACCCGAACCTGTAGAGCAATTCCACTAAAACTTCAGAAATATATCTGACCTATAATTGGACACATGACTGCCAAGTTTCATGAATCTGACTTTATTATTTTGCCGAATATAAAAAATTTGCTTTTGGAGTTGTATGGCAGCCACCCGAACCGGTACAGCTATCCCATTATAATTTCTAGAGCATGTGTAGAATATATTTGGACACATGTATACAAAATTTTATATTTATAGCTTTTTTAATTTTTGAAATATTTAAAATAAACTCTTTGAGTTGTATGGCAACTACCCGAACCCGTTGTCCGAATTAGTCCAATAACAATAGGGCTCGTCCTTGGCACAAAAGAAGCAACTTGTGAAAGTTTGGTGTCGATTGCATTATTCGTTTTTGAGTTATCGTGCGATCGGACGGACGGACGGACGGACGGACGGACGGACATGTCTAAATCGACGCAGAATTTTACGCTGAGCAAGAATATATATATATGTCCATACCGCAGATGGCTCCTTCAAGTAGTTACAAACTCCATACCAAAGTTAATATACCCTTCACGAAGTGCAGGGTATAAAAATAAAGGTTATGAATATTTGTACATAAACTCATTACATATCATTATAATAATGAAAATCTTGATTATGTAGAAAACTAGATTTCGTATAAAATTAAAAAGGATA